GTGTGTTTGGAGAGCTGAAGGCTGGCCTTGGGGGCGGGCACGCTGATCAGCGGAGGCCGGAGCCATAAGTAATCCGTGGGAGCCATACGTTTGTTGGGAAATCCTTGGGGGTTGTGGCCCCCACCGTCAGCCCCAGTCCCAACCCCCGAAGTCTCACCCGGCCGTATGACAGTGTGCTGGGGGCTCTGGGAGGGCAGGGGTTTTGCCCTGTGCGGCATCCCCAGTGCCTGGCACATACTAGGCCTCCAGCACAAATCTGTGAACTCTTGGAGGAGCTCTGCCCCCGAGAGCTCCTCCTTGGCACCCTAAGGCCCGTCCCACGCCCCGCTGAGCCCCGGAGCCATTCCCACCATTCAGAGCGCGTCTCATCCTGGCCCCAGGGATTCAGAGCATGCTGACCCCGGCCCTGGGGAGAGCCGTCACCCACCCATGACATCAGGAATGCACTGTCCAGAGGCCTGTGTCCCCTGAGACCAGCCAGCGCCAGGCCCATAGCCACCGCTGTGGACTCTGAGGGGCCCTGTGACATCACCCGCCGCGCTGTGGCTGCTCATCCGGAATCAGAATTCTGTCCTCTCGAGGTTTGGAAGAGGCGTCACAGACATTGACTTTGAGGGGAATTTGCTCATTGAAATGGGGCTTCACCGCATCGAGCTCCCTGCTCAGCGGGGAGCCTGATTCTCCCTCTCCTGCTCCCCCTGCTTGGGTTCCCTCTCTCGCTGTCTCTCTCTCTGTCAAATAAATAAAAGGAAAAAAAAAAAAAAAAGAAATGGGGCTTCACCTGGGTCCCAGGAGCCCCAGGTGGGTTTCCCACAGGGACTGGAGCCCTCAGCTACGTGCTCTGATGATGGGAAAGACGGGGCTCCTATCAGACCCCCGAGGGAAGGCACGAGGAGCAGCCCTGGAGGCCAGGGTGCAAACCACGGCCCATCTGCTCACTCCTCTGAGCCGCGAAGAGCGCCGCTGGGGCTCGGTGTCTCCTGGGACCCTCCCAGGGCATCCTGGGGGATTGGTGCGGGGCAGCAGGAACCACGGAAGGTGGAAGGAGAATTTCGGTCCAGAGCAGAAGTTGGCAGCTGTTAAGAAACAAGGGGCGGAGTTCTGACCACTTTGGCGGCTGCAGGGCCGGCGCAGGGGTGGGGTGAGACGTGTGCCTGCCCCGAGGTGCGGACTCCCACTGCAGCCTCCTTCCGCTGGTTCTTGCAGCTCCTCGCCATTCTCTTCGGCAGGAATCGTGCCGGGTCCCGCAGCCTCGAGCGTGCTGCCTGCACATGGTGCCACCTGGCCCGTCTGTCGCCGTGCACGGAGGGGCCTTTCTGAGGTCAAGAGACCAGTGAGGCGGGGAGAGGAGACCCGGACGGAGAGGGGTGTTTCCAGCTCTGCCTGCCTCCAGTTCGCACCCAGCCTCTGGCTTCTAGAAGGGACGGAAGAGCTGGCCACGCCGGAGTGGGGATGCGTGGCCTCTGCCACAAGGGCCCCCGTGGGATGACCCCAGGCTTCTGAATTCTCATCTGGGGACAGGGGCCTGGGTGGGCGTGGCCATTGTGGAGGGTTTTTCCAGCTTTGGCTTTCTGTTGTTCCTGTCTGCCCCAGCTCCAGGCGTGGAGAGTGGCGTGACGGCTGCCCCCTACTCTGGAAGCCTGAGAGATAGAATGTTCCAGAAGCGTGAAGTGGTAGAGAAGGCAGAACGTAGGGGAGGTACCGGGGGTCGGTGTTTTGCTGGCTCTGAATGTGGGGTGGGGAGCAGACTCCCTGGAACCCCTGTGTCCAGCGTCTACACTGGCCGGCCCACACTGTCCAGCTTGAGAAACGCATCCATGCACATGGCTCCATCTGAGCTTCCTGGTGTCCCACGGGCTGGGACAGCCTAGCCATGAGGCCCCCCACCCCAAGCCGTGCCCCTGGGCCACCACCGGACCTCACCGAGCCTCTGTGTTCTCAGAAGAGCATACCGAGCGCTGAGTCACGTGAAGAGCATACCGAGCGCTGAGTCACATGAGACGTGGACATGGCAGACGAGGCGGGTCCGAGTGAGTGCTGGTCACGCGGCCCTGCCTTGCGGGACCGCAGCCTTGCGTGCGAGCAGCAGCAGAAGCTGCTGTGGGCTCCGTCTGCGGACCCGAGTGGCGGGACCACGTGGGAAGTGCTGGCCACTGGCCGCTCTGTGCACGAGCGCCTGTTCAGCTCCCCGGAAGCCGCTCCCCTGTGCAGACGGAGCACCGGGCCTCTGCCCGCGGCAGCACCCTGATCGCCACCGGCGACCTTTAACGTCTCTCTTGCCTACGCAGCCTCATACCCTTCCTTTCGGGACGACAGAAAACCATAGCCCCTGTGCTCACAAGGGTCCTGTGTGGCGTTCTGCCGAGCTGCGCAAAGCTGCTGTCCCCAGCTCCGAAGGCGGCAGCATGCGTCACCCACCGGGGATGTCCCCCTCCCGCCTTCCGTAAACCCCAGCAGAAGTTAGGAGCAGCCCCGTAGTGCCCAACCTCTTGTCAGCCTCCTTCTCGTTGTCCCAAAACTATCTTTATGGCTTCTTAAAACGAAACAAAACAGGATCTAGTCAAGGTGTTTGCCTTTGGCTGTTTTTCCTCTTGGTCTTTTTAAGTCAAGAACAATTCTTTTTTTCTGTGACATTCACTTTTTCTTAAGATTTATATATTTATTTATTGGCGAGAGCGCACTGAGTGGGGTGGGCCAGAGCGAGAGGGAGACCAGCAGACTCTGCGCTCGGCGTAGAGCCTGACGCGCGCCCCATCTCACCACCCTGAGGTCACGACCTGAGACCAAACCGAGATCCAACGTGTCACCAACAGCACCCTGGCGCCCCTGACACTGCTGGGCCAGTGTCCTCTGGAATGTCCCATATTCTGGATGTGTCCGTTTCCTCAGGATGTGCTGGGGCTCAGCTCCCTGTGCCTCCTGTTTTCTGTAAATCGGAAGGTATGCCCAAAGGCTCGGTGAGGTCCCATCAGGCCAGTTTCGGCAGGATGACTTCAAAGGGGATATCGTGTCTCCCCGTGGTGCCCTTTGGGGAAGCAGATGCCGGGTTGTGCACCTGTGAGCACTGTGGGCTTGGGCAGGGCTCTGGTGATCACCGGACTTCTGCATTACCAAGGTTCCATGGGAGGCCATCCACGGGGGCCGTCGGCAGCGGGGACATGTCCCCTGATCTCCCTTGTGATCAGGCCAGCCTCTGATAATGAAGAGGGCTGCAGGGCAGGGTGCTGCGAGCTCCATCATGCCTGCTACACCGATGGGCCGCGTGCTTCTGTAGCCTGGACCGGTTGGTACATCGTACCCGTGGGATTGCGGTGACGCGGTGTTGGCATGGAGCCTGGCTGTGAGCACCTGCTGTATGGGAGAGGGGCGGGTCTCATGCGGACAGTGAGCTGGGGCTGAGCGTCCGCATTAGTTACCCTGCCGGCCCCGCAGCCGGGACAGAGACCCACGGCCTCTGCTTTTCAGCTGCAAGCCGCTTGGCAGTCGCAGGGTGAAGGGCTCCCAGCCCACGGATCCCCAGCACCCGCCGTTGCCCTGTTTGTGTCGGGCCTGATGGCTCGGGTCAGATGATGTCCCCAGCACAGAGTGACACCAGGCAGTCCCCAGGATCGGTTACCACCCAGCCAACATCCTGGACGCCGCCTGGTCTTTGTTCCTGTACGTGGGCTCTGCACGCACGGGAGCCTTCCAGATCTGTGCCAGGGCGTCCGGTCCAAGGCGTGGTGACCCCATGTGGCTGGACGGTCCTGCTCTTGTACGGCTCAGCCGTCGGACTGCGTCCGCTCTCCAGAAGCAGACCCTGTCTCCTGTTTTATTTCTGACTGGGGCTCCTCTGCAGCTCCCTCATGTCGCTGCCGGGAAAGGAGCTCAGGGCCCCTGGGCTCTCGGTGATGGGCTTACCGTGTCCAGAATCCACGGCAGCACTGCCTCGCCCGTGGCCCCAGGCGCTCCCCTCACGCCTCCGCCGCTGGCTACCCTCCTTGGGTCCCAGTGCCGCCCGCCACCAAGGACTGGAACTGGCAACACACGTCCCTGTGGCGGCTTCATACGCAGGTCCCCTCTTGCTGCCACGGTGCGTGTCCACCCTGCTCAGTCCCTGCCTGCTCTCGCTGGATGCGGGAGGCTCCCTTCCCTGGTTCCCCTGCAGATTCTCGGACTCAGCCCACTCAGCAAGGCCAAAGTCCACATTTTACGATGGGCAGACTGAGGCTCAGAGCACGTAAGAGCGGTTCCTGTGGTCACACAGGACGGGGCAGGAGGCCGCTCAGCCCAGCGGAGGCTGCTCGGGCAGGACGTGGGCTGGGGTCGGCAGGCTGCGGAGGTCCGTGGGGGTGAGCAGGGCTGAGGTCTGGTCTGCGCGCCGCTGCTGTGCTCCCTCCGAGGGTCAGATCCCCAGCCGCAGGCCACAGTGACTGCCCGCTGGGAGTCCCCTCCACACTGGTTTCCCTCGAGCGTGGCCCATCGGGCCACACCTGCCAGCAGCGGGGTGGCCAGGCCGTGCCCGGGGGCACACGGCGTCTGCGGGGAAAGGGCAGGAGACCGAAGCCACGGCGCAGCCCAGGGCACGTCCCCGACTCTCCAAGCTTCTGGAGTTTGGGCTAAGAGCCTCCGGGTCTCCTGGGCTCCGCTGCCCGCCCTCACGAGCAGCAGGGCGGCTTGCGCTCTGCCCGGGGCAGCTTAGGCGCTGGGGGTGTGTGGGCGACAACGCGTCTCCGGCAGGGAGCAGGGAGCGCCGCGCAGTGTAGATGCAGAGGTGTGTGGGCGACGACGCGTCTCCAGTGGGGACCACCGCGCAGCGTAGACACGGAGGTGTGTGGGCGACGCGTCTCCCGCTAACCCGGATCTCACTCCGTCATAAGCGGTGCCTCAGAGCAGGTTCCCCGCGGCGCGGTCGGGGCCAGCCGCGCTGTGCTCTCTCCCCGCACCCCCGCACCCGCTCCGTGCCCCGCCGCCTCTGCCCCTCCCTGGGCCTGCTCCTGACTCAGCGTCTGCTCTCCCAGGACGAGAAGCCTCCGTGGGCGCAGCGCGGCCCCTCCCAGCCAAGGGCACCATGGCCACGTCGGCCCCGCTGCGCAGCCTGGAGGAGGAGGTCACCTGCTCCATCTGCCTCGACTACCTGCGGGACCCCGTGACCATCGACTGCGGCCACGTATTCTGCCGCAGCTGCACCACGGACGTGCGGCCGGCGTCGGGGGGCCGCCCCGTCTGCCCGCTCTGCAAGAAGCCGTTCAAGAAGGAGAACATCCGGCCAGTGTGGCAGCTGGCCAGCCTGGTGGAGAACATCGAGCGGCTGAAGGTGGATAAGGACAGGCAGCCTGGGGACGCGGCCCGGGAGCCGCCGGACACCAGGCTGTGCGAGCGGCACCGGGAGAAGCTGCATTACTACTGCGAGGACGACGGCAAGCTGCTGTGCGTCATGTGCCGCGAGTCCAGGGAGCACAGGCCGCACACGGCCGTCCTGGTGGAGAAGGCCGCCCAGCCCCACAGGGTAAGCGGGCTCCACCCGCCCAGGGGCGAGGCCGGGCGCGCTCCCCAACACTTTGTGGCCCACGGGGGTGCTCAGCCACAGCGCATCCATCCCCATGGCTTGTCTTTCCGCAGGAGAAAATCCTGAACCACCTGAGTACCTTGAGGAGAGACCGGGACAAAATTCAGGGCTCCCAGGCAAAGGGAGAAGCTGATATCCTGACTGCACTGGTATGTGGGGCTGTGAGAGCCTGAGGCCGCGGCCATGTGGGGAGGGAGCTGGAGGGGGCTGAGCGGCAGAGGCTGAGCCCTGACGGTCTGAGCTGGGGGCTTCGGGCTGGCTTCCATATCGTGTGTGCGTGCGGGCGCTCCTGCACAGGTGTGGCTCGCTGCAGCCGTGGGCCACGTCTGGCAGCAGCTGCTCCGGACTGCCAGTGTGCAGGGGACCGAGGAGGTCCCGGCAAAGCCCTTCCTGTTACGGATGGGGGGACTGGACTCCCGATGTGGTGGGGAGCCAGGGGCCTTGGGAGGGGGGCGCTGGCTGCGGGATGAGCACAGTGGGGAGGCCTGGGAGGCTGTGGGGCATCCTGGGGACCCTGTGTGCTGAGTCCTGCAGCCAGGGCTACCACAGCTGGGAAGCAGAGACAGCACTTCCTGTTTGATTAGAGATGGGGTGCGAGGGCTGTCCCCGCATTTCCTGCAGGGGAGTCTGTGTCGGAGGGAGGTTGGCCCAGCCGTGCTCTGAGGTCCCACAGTGCACGGATAGGGGTGCGAGCCGGCCTCATGCAGCCCCACCAGGAGACACTGCCGGGGCTCTCCAGTGTGGGGCAGGGCAGTCACCCATCTCCCCTCCACACCCCTGCAGAAGAAGATCCAGGACCAGCGGCAGAACGTCATGGCCGAGTTTAAACAGGCGCACGAGTTCCTGCGGGAGCGGGAGCAGCACCTGCTGGAGAAGCTGGAGGTGCTGCAGCAGGAGCTGGCGGAGGGCCGCGAGAAGTACAAGAGCAGGGGTGTCGCGGAGCTGGCCCGGCTGGCGCTGGTCATCTCCGAGCTGGAGACCAAGGCGCAGCAGCCGGCTGCAGAGCTCCTGCAGGTGAGATGCCTCCGGGGCGGCTGGTCTCTGTCCCCTGTACCCCCATGGGACCCTGGGAGAGCCGCCGCCTCTCAGGCCGTGACTTTCTCTACTGAAATGTCAGGAGAGTCACCCCCACCTGCCCCACCTCCTCCCGTGGTCATACGAGCACAAGAGGACGTGACCTGCATGGTGTCCCTTCAGAGGGCAAAGTCTACCAAAAACCAGTTGGAGGGGGTTGGAAAGTGCCGTGTGAGAGGAAGGGAGGGTTATGAGTGTTTTCGTCATGCCGTTGTCCTCGTCGCAACCACCACAGGTCCCTCCAGGGGAAGCTACGGGCAGCCCGTGCTGCTGGGGTGGCCGAGGGAAGGCGGCTTCTCCCAGGGAGGGACTGGAGGAGACAGGCAAGGTTTTCTGTGGGAGGGAGAGCAGGCCGGGTGCCCCTGGCACGCTTCCTGAAGGAGGCAGCTTTGATGCCAAGGGGAAGTGCCTTGAACTAGAGTGGAAACAGCACTGTGCCGCCTTCCTCCTGGAGCCTCCCTGGACCTTCCCCCTGCGGGCGGGGAGGAGGCTGTGGTGGCCGGGCGGGTCAGCAGTGGAGCCCCCCCACCTCCTCCAGGAAGATGCTGTCCCAGCCAGCAGCCTGGCCTCAGGAGACACAGCGGGGCAGGCTCTCCAGGTACCCGCACAGGGGGGCCGCCTGCCGCCCCTCGCTGAGCATTCTGGCTCGCAGATTGGGACTGGCGGGGGGTGAGGGCCCTGTATGAGAAAAACTCGCTGAGGGCCCAGCTGCCAGGCAGGTCAGGAACCCGGTCCCAGCTCCATTCCTAGGCCTCTTGTTCTTGTCCTTCATTTGGTCTAAAATGTGTCTGGCATTTCCCACAAATTCCTCCATCAGACGGGGATTAAGTCTCTTACTGCCCCGTTCTCTGCCCCCGGGGGAGGGGCAGCCCTCCTTTCTCCATCATGTGCAGTTGTGTGGGGGGCAGAGAGAGACTAGCTGGGGTGCTGCTGGGGACTGAAATCCGGACGGGAGCCCCTCCCACTCCACCCGAGGGAGCCACAGGGGCCAGCGTGCCTCCAGCGCCGCTCAGATGGAAGGCGTACCCGGGGCACAGGTGCCGGGATGGGGCGAGGGCACAGAGCAGGAGGAAGGGCCCACAGCCTTCTGTTCACTGTTGCACCCCTGGCTCTCAGCGCTGTGGCACCTCCTGTGAGGGGTCTGATGCCACTGGGCTGATGCTTGTGCTTTCTTCCCCTCCAGGACACCAGGGACTTCGTGAACAGGTAACAGCCTCCTTTCCACGGCGCACCCGCCCCACCCCACCCCCTCCATGGGACCCTTGGAATGAACGGTCCCACCTCGGCTAGGGTTAGGGTTAGCCAGAACATGGCTGGGACCTGGAGACTTGCTCTCTGAAGCAGCCAGGGCTCCACCAGGGTCTGAGATGGGACGGAGATGAGGGCGGAGACATGCTTGCGGACAGAAGTGTTCCGGATGCTCAAGTCCCGGCCCAGCTGGGGGCTGTTCAGTCAGTGTTTTTGTGCCCGTGTTTCTCCGTTGATTGGGGATGGTCATACCTTTCCTTCCTGCTTCATAGTTGTTATGAGAACGGGAGAAGCGCAAGGAGAGCTGAGGGACAGGTCTGTCTGTCGTCTTCCCAGGTACCCACGGAAGAAGTTCTGGATTGGGAAGCCCATTGCTCGGGCGGTTAAGAAGAAGACGGGAGAATTCTCAGAGAAACTTCAGTCCTTGCAGCGAGGCCTGAGAGAGTTCCAAGGTGAGGGCTGGGGTGCACTGGGGTGGGAGTCGGGCCTGGCTGGGGGCTGGGGGTGAACCGGGGTGGGAGTAGGGCCTGGCTGCGGGCTGGGGTGCACTGGGGTGGGAGTCAGGCCTGGCTGAGGGCTGGGGGTGAACTGGGGTGGGCGTTGGAGCTGGGGCTCTGCATCGAAGGAGGGGGCCACCTCCTTACTGTCATCTTTGGCCTCACTCTTGTGTCTCCTGGTTGTTTTCTGTTTTCTTCTTGGGATGTCAGTCAGGGAGGCCCTATCTGGAAATTAATCCTGTCTGAGCAGAAAACGGGCCCATAATTTTCCTGGACTAGAGGGTCATTCCTGTCCTTTTCTCCTCCCCAGGGAAGCTGCTAAGAGACTTGGAATATAAGACAGGTGAGTGTCCAAGGGCCATTCCCAGTTCCTCTCCCATTAGGAACTCCGTCCCCACAGAGACTCATGACTGTCCCCTGCTGCCCCCAGGGAGTCCCTTCTCTTACACAGCTGAGATTTCCCAGCAGCAAGTCTATACCCCGCACTGGGCCTCTGGTTTGCAACAGAAGTCCGTGCTTGACTGCCTGACCCTTGTCTGCACAATGTTCTCATCCACCTGACCGCGTGGCTGCTGTATGCGGGGCCGTCTCTGCTGCCGGCCCCCGCATTGTGCTCCTTCCGGGCCCTGCTGTCAGGTTGGGCACTGCACAGCCCTTGCTTTTAGGGTGTGGCAGCCCTGCGGAGGCCCCCCAGTAACAGCACTACTGTTTCGTTGTCCCCACAGTCAGTGTCACGTTGGACCCGCAGTCGGCGAGCGGGTACCTGCAGCTGTCAGAGGACTGGAAGTGTGTGACCTACAGCAGCCTCTACCAGAGTGCTTACCTGCACCCCCAGCAGTTTGACTGTGAGCCGGGGGTGCTGGGCAGGAAGGGCTTCACCTGGGGCAAGGTGTATTGGGAAGTGGAGGTGGACAGGGAGGGCTGGTCCGAGGATGAAGAGGAGGGCGAGGAGGAGGAGGAGGGGGAGGAGGAGGAGGAGGAGGAAGAGGAGGCGGGCTACGGGGACGGGTACGAGGACTGGGAGACGGATGAGGACGAGGAGTCATTAGGGGAGGAAGAGGAGGAGGAGGAAGAGGAGGAGGAGGTCCTCGAAAGCTGCATGGTGGGGGTGGCCAGAGACTCTGTGAAGAGGAAGGGGGACCTGTCCCTGCGGCCAGAGGACGGGGTGTGGGCGCTGCGCCTCTCCTCTGCGGGCATCTGGGCCAATACAGACCCTGAGGCTGAGCTCTTCCCGGCGCTGCGGCCCCGGCGGGTGGGCATCGCCCTGGATTATGAAGGCGGCACCGTGACATTCACCAACGCAGAGTCACAAGAACTCATCTACACCTTCACCGCGACCTTCACGCGGCGCCTGGTCCCCTTCCTGTGGCTCAAGTGGCCTGGGACTCGCCTCCTGCTGCGACCCTGAGCCCACTGCTGCTTCCCTTCTCGGGGATTCCAGGACCGTGACAGGGAGGGGATGTCTGGCTGCGGCACCTGGAGCAGGTGCACTCCCCCCACCGCCCCGAGGCTGTGGCCCCGCAAGGCTCGCTCAGTGCCGCCACTCCGTCCACACGGCTGCCGTCGGACTCGTCCCCCAGTGCCTGGGGCTCCCCATGCAGACGTCTGACCCCGGAGTCCGTGAGGGCCCTCTGCGGCCTTGGCCTAGCTCTGCACACACTCTGTTGAACCAGAGACGAGACAGCCTTCCGTCGGCCAATCTGGCGTCCCGTGCTGGCTGCTCCTGGGAGAGCACAGGTGACTGCACCGAGGCCACTCGCCGTGCCCGGCATCCCCCTTGCCCACATCCTCTCCGCTGCCAGCCTTCCCTGCCCCCCAACTCAGAGTCCCCCACGCGAGCAGAGCAGAAGCCCACCACGGTTTCCGGGCAGTTTGAACAAGCTTCCGAGGTGCCGCGGAGTCGCCAAGCCCAGAGCAGGCGCCTCGATGCTCTGAGACCAGGGTCGAGCGTCTGACGTTTGCACACGGAAGCACCTAGGACCCCCGGAGCTGCTTGGGGGAGAGCTCTGGATGCACGTGGCTTTGAAGCCTTGTGTGTGGTCAGTGATCAGTAAATGACCTAAGGGTGGGGCTTTGGGAGATGGTGACGGGAGTCCAAAACACTGTGCTCTTGGTGGGTCGTCTGAAGTCACCGGGGCAGACGCCCGTCCAGGCCAGCCTTCCCTTGGAAGCCTCGGCCCGTGCCCCCTGCACAGTGGAAACTTGGTCTGGATGACTCTGCAGGCCCCTCGTCCTGGGACGGGGCAGTGGGGAGAAGAGAGGATGCCAGCAGGGCTCCCGGAGCTCACCTTCGTGTAGAGTGAGGGCTGGACCGCGGCCTCGTGGCGCCTGCACGCTCACTGCTCCAGCCGGACACCCACAGCCTTTGTGTGCACCCGTCCCAGGCCTGGCAGCAGCGTCCCATGCCCCAGCACCTCGGCCACCACATCACCTGGCAAGGTCCCTGCTATTTCTGCCTCTAGTTTTGTACCCCCATGTACCTCCCGCAGGGCTGGGCACACAGCAGGTGCTCAATAAAGACTTGTGCAATGAGCAGACTGGGTTCATTTACTTTATTATAACCTTTGTGTGGCTCCGGAGTGCTTGCGTGAACGGCAGTGGCCTGGGGTCCCTCCTGGGACACGCCACCGCCCCAGACAGCAGCCCCCATGTCTCCCTGCCCCACCACACCAGCCCCGTGCTCTCACCCAGCATCCGCACAGCCAAGGACGGCCCATGACAGGGCGACATTCCGTGGCACACCCAGAATCTTTCCGAGGAAAATGCATAGTCCCCTACCCAAAGGAGGTGCCCCCAGCGCCCTCTGACACATGCAGCCACCCAACCATCTCCTGTCTGCTCTCTCTGCTGGTTTTCTAATTGTCATCTTAAACACAGAAATGGAAGATCTCATTTATGACTCTTCCCCCTTTTTTATTTTTCATTTGTTCTTTTTACTTTTTTTTCTAAATACAGATATGCAAAATGTGTCACTTGTTAGAAATAAGACACGTTATTAATATAATGATGTCAGTTAATCTACATTCGAATCCTGAGAGACAATAATCACTAGCATATTCTTGAAAATTTACATTTATTTTGTTGATCGATGTGAATCGTTTCCTAAAATTATACTCTCCTAATCTTTTATTTATGGGAAGATTTCAGAATTCTCAAAATGCCGCCTATCCTTTCTTGGAAAGAATTTTTACATAATGAAATTTTTGAAAAATATTAAGGTGATCGTTGTATAATTAAAAGCTCCTACTTATTAAATAGGGGACATTTGCATTTGAACAAAACAGGAGCCCTTGCAGGTCCTGGTTTAACGAGTTTCGTGAGCGTGAAACTTCCAGAATAAAGCATAGACAATGAGGTATCCGCATGAAACAGCAAATCCCTGAAAACACACACGTTATGCCACCACGTGAGGACAGAAAGGTGCCACGTGGAACTTATCTAGATTCTTTTGGACATTTTTATTTTTTATAATCATATTTTTAAGTATTTTTTATGTGAACCTCACCTACACGTGTGGTCAGATCTACGTAGCGTTTATCACAGGAGAGAAAAGAGCAGCCCCCTCCTCTCCCCGGGGCGCTCCTTGCCGGGCGATTTCCTCGATGCAGCTTTGGTGTGGGACTGTCCTCCGTCCCCCGGCAGCCGAGGCTCTAGCTCTGGACCTGGCCTTCTAGTGGGGTGCACACCTGTCCTGCCCGGTGGCCGAGCCTGAGCGCAGTTTACCGAGTCCTCTGCACATGGGTCTGTGGGGACAACCCGCTCTTCCTGGACAGAGGAATTGCCTTTCTCTTCCCTTTGGCTTCATTTCCTACGTCCGCATTACTAACCGAAGCCCGGCGTGTTCACTGGTTGTCAGCCTCCGTCAGTGCCCAGTCGTCGGCTGCTGTGGTCGGTGTCCCGTCCTGTCTCCCACCACCCTCTCCGTCTGTGCACAGCCCCGTGGGCTGGGCTTCCCTGTTTCGTCATCCTGTGTTTTCCTCTTCTTCGCTGACTTCCTTCTCGTAAGCCGGTGGCTTCCTGATGGGGCGGGTAAGTTGCTGTTTTGAGATGTTGAGTATCTGCAAGTTCAGGGCCTTTGGGTTCAGGGAAACGTTGCTAAGTTTTTTCCTTTTTTTTTTTTTTTAATTTAATTTTATTTGTGTGTGTGTGTGTTCCAAAATTCATTGTTTGCGGAGTTACTTCTTGACGGTTGGCGCCTCCTTCGTTTTCTCTGCCGTCTCTGGCCTTCGTGTGGCTCCTGCACTGGTTTTCCGAGAGGCCGGGGTAGGCGAGGACGTTTCCAGGCTGGGACCTGGAGGGCGGTGGGCAGAGACCTGGAAGAGGACGGTGATGGATGCCGAGCCGGTGTCTGCTGTCCCGCGCTCGCTCTGCCAGGGCTGCTGTGATAGGGAGAGCCTAGGATCACACGGGCAGGGGGACAGTCAGGGACAGGCTGGGAGGGGACACCCGCATGTCTGCAGCAGGGTGCAGGGAGGGCAGGAAGAGCAGGGGAGGGGTTGGCACAGGCAGACCATGCCAGCCGCGGGAACCATGCCAGCCACCGGGACCACACCGCTGGGTCTGGGGTTAGGGAGCCGCTCAGACGGCAGGCATGCTGCCCCTCCTACACCCCCGACACCATTCTTCGTGGGGGTGCCCCCCTCCTTCAGGGAGCTCGTCCCACGAGAGGCACAGACAAGTATTAAGCAGTGCGGAGCGCCTGGGGGCCCCAGCGGCTGAGCAGTGAACTCTTGGTCTCAGCTCAGGTGGTGACCCCAGAGTCGTGGGACCCATCCCTGCCGGGGCTCCGAGCCCAGTGGGCGTCTGCTTCTCCCTCTCCCCCTCCCCACGCTCAAGCTCTCTCTCAAATAAATTAACAAATCTTTAAAAATAAATAAATAAATAAACTAAGCACAGCAAATACAAACATAGCATATGTTGGGAAATAAGCATCATGGACCTAAAACACTGTGGTTGCTTTTTGAAATATCTTTGTGCCAAGAGAGAAGGAAGCCGAGAGCCCCGGAGAGGAGACGCGGGGGTGAATCTGCTCAGCGAGGGCCGGGCAGACCGAGGCAGTGGGAGGGGCGCGTGCGAGGCTGCGAAACGCCATCTGCCGTTAGGCCGACGGCCCGGGTCTGGGGTTCGGGTGAGGGCAGCCCCGCGACAGCTGGGCCTGGCTGGGGAATCAGGCTTGGGTCTCACTGGCGTTGCTTCTGAGAGGTCTGTCGGCATCCGAATGGAGAGGTCACCCCGGGTGAAGGGCTGTCAGAGTCAGGGCCAAGCCAGAGACTTGGGAGTGAGAAGTACACAGGGGCCAGCTAAGGCCCTGTGGCAGGTGTGGAGATCGACACTAAGAGGGGCCGTGCTGACCCCCGGGCGCTCCAGCGTCTGTCCACGGCCGAGGAGGAGCCGGCAGAGACACGAGCAGCAGCCAGTCAGGTAGAGGCCCGGCTCAGCCGAGATGACCCTCAAGAGCTAGTGGGGGTGGGGGGTTGCCCCGAGCGGTCATGGAGCTGCTGCTGACTTGGGACTCCCCACCTCGCCCCTGCATCCCAGGGGTGCTTCACCGTCCGCGGGCGGGCGGTTTGCTGAACCCCGCATGCATCTTTGTAAACAGTCCCTCCGCTAAGCTGGGCTCAGTCACCCCTGCTGGTAGAAAACCAGCTCTGGGCTGGGGGGACGGAGAGAAGGAGAGGAAGGGGTGAGGCTGCTGCTGCAAGCTGGGGCGGGCCTGGGACCCGTTTCCAGGAATGGACGCAGGAGGCCCTCAACACCCAGCTTGAGCTGTTGGCGTGAAATTCCGGGCCCTTGACTGTAGTACGGAGGGATAAGCCGGTGATGACTCAGGTCGTCTCCCAAGGGGTGTGACAGAGAAAAATCAGGGGCCCCCAGGGGCTCAGGTCGTGTTCCCTGGGGTCCTGGGATGGAGCCCCACACCGGGCTCCCTGCTCAGTGGGGCACCTGCTTTTCCCTCTGACCCTTCTCCCCACTTGTGCTCACTCTCTGTCTCAAATAATTAAATAAAATCTTTTTAAAAAAGACTATGTTTACCCTTAAGTTCAGGGTTCTTTGTATAATCATTGGATGAATTATATTTTGTTATTCAAATATGCTCTATCTTTATTAGAAGAATCTTATTTTGTGGCTCCAATATTCTAGATCCTAATCATTTTCTGTGTCTTTGAGTATCAGTGACTGAAAGAAATATCTTTTAAAATCTGCTGTTCTGTTCTTTTTGTAACTGATCATGAATTGTTAGATGTATGAGAGCTTAGTATTGTTATAGTTTCCAGATAAATTGTTTCTTTTACCAAAATGTACTATCCCTGTTTCTCCACCTAATAATACTTCTTGCATTGAAATGTCTTCTCTGACATTGATACAGTTACATCGACTTTCCCTTCACTCTCACTGCCCAGTATCTTATTTTTAATTTTTCAGGGTCATTGTTTTATCGCTTATTTTGTAAACAGCATAGCTGGATTTTTTTTTCCAGTCTAGAAACTGGTCTTTCAGCAAATAGGAGTTATTCTGTTTACACTTATTGTGATTATTGAGAAACCAATAAATTTTTATGATCGAATTTTATGATTTCTATTTGTCATTCTTTTCTGTGCCCTTTTTTTTTTCTTTGTTGGGTTAAGTTTTCTTAATCCCCATGTTTCTCTGCTCCTGGTTGGGAAGTTACATATTTTCCTTCTCTCTACCCATAAAGTCTTACATGCATGCTTGAATTAACAAAACGTAGAGTGTCTCAGTGTCCCTCTGTCCTCCCGACAGTGCCGCCGATGAAGTCCTCCCCGTCCGGCTGACGGGCGATCGGTCTCACGGCCATTGTCATTCGCCTGCCTGGGGTTGCTGAGGACGGTGGCTCTGGGATTCCTCCCTGGGTAGGGCCTGCTCTGGTCCTCTGAATTTTTCTTCAAGGTTTTCTTGCGTCTGGATCTGCGGTTTTTGTAGTGTCTGGATTCTAGTCTTTTGTCCGTTCTATGTATTGTCAGTGTCTTTCCCCAGTTTGTAACTTACCTCTTCACTCTGTTCTGGTGTCTTAGTAATCAGAAGTCCTTAACTTTAATGCTGGGGAACTTGTGGTGGGTGCTGTGTTTATTCCTTAACTTACCCACCGGTCTTGCTGGAGCAGTCCTCCCTTACTGCAAGGTCATGGGGTGACCCCCCAGAGCACCTTCCATGTCCAGTGTTTCCCTCGTGTTTTGGTGTTCACCTTATCCGAATCCGCCATGCGCCTGCTTTGTTTTCATGCGCCTGCCCGTGGGCCCTGCTACTGTTGGTCTGTAGGATTTGATGTCTGTGCCCTGTTTGCTGGGTGGGAGCCACTGCCCGCTGTTATCAGCAGCAGCCGGGAGCCTCCCACCGTGCCAGGCGATGTCTGCGTGTCCCCCTGTCGTGAGATAGCACAACGTGCATCCGTGGGTCTTGGCCCTGGTTCCTGGCACAGAGCTCCCAAACCCTCGTACTGTCCTCTGTGATAATGGCTCTAGGAGCATCCCCCGTTCAGTGCGGTGCCTCTGGGCAGGCTCCTGGACAGGGGTCTGGTCCCCAGAGACCCAGCCACCGCAAGCTGAGCCATTTGGGTGAGGGGCAGGGAATGGAGCTAATGACGCACATGCCCTCGTGAGGGCGCCCCCATGAGATCCCAATCACATGGAGTTGGGGGGCTTCCAGGTGGCTGAGCGCCCCCACGCCCAGGGGCAGCACCCCAACTCCAGGGGACACAAGCCGCTGCGCCTGGGACCCTCCTGTAGGATCCCTGGGTGTCTCTTCATCTGGCTGTCATCTGCACCCTTTATCAGTCCTTCAGTCAACCAGAGACTAGTCAGCGCGTCTCTGCCCACCGTGAGCACTCCTGACAGGTCAGTGGAGCCCGGGGAGCCCCCGTGGGAACCTCTGGTCCACAGTTGATCACCAGAAGCACAGGGGACGCTGTGGGCTGGCGACCGGCATCTGCGAAGCAGCAGGCACTCTCGTGGGACCGAGCCCTTCACCTGTGTGATCAGAAGGGACGTGAAGAACAGAACGTCCTCCTGGTGTCGCGAGAACGGCTTGATGCAGGGAAAACTGTGCACCCGGTGACCAGAGGGAGGTGCCACCTGCACACAGGACAGGAGGCCTGGCAGCAGCACACAGCAGGAAGAGCTGCATGGCTCCCCGCAGGGGTGGAATCCCTGCTTCTCCTTACACGGGTGGTGTCTCCTTCACTCCGTACAACAATCCCAAGGTAGACACTGGTTCTCGGTTTTCAGACCGGACTAGACGGTTAGGGAGGTTCAGTAAGCCTCCGGAAGTTCACAGAACATGAGCCCGTGCTTTCCGCTGAGCACAAGGGGCTGGGGAGACCAGCACGACCTTGGCGCCCAGCCCTGTGGGAAACAAGGTGACACGCCAGGCCGTAGAAGCCCCTACTTGGGGCCGGGAATGGACGGCTCTGTGAGGACAGGTGTAAGGTCGCAAGGTCTGGAAGGTGGGAGGGATCCTCTGTGCCCTTGGGCCCTGGGCAGGGGGGAGGGTTTCCCAAGGCTGAGTCAGGCGCCCAGCGGGAGCCCTCGTTCCCTAGGGCACTCACCGGACTTCTCGAACACCCAGCACACCCTTCTCCCACACCCTTCTGCAGGGCTCTCGGGCTCCACCCAGCCAGTCTCTGGAGCCCTGTACAAAGAGAAGCCTGTGAGCCAATGATCCTGGCGGCAATGGCCTCATTGTCACCATGAAGATAATTAGCTCTGTGTCTTCTTTCAGAAGGGGGTGGGGCAGGGAGACTGTACAAAGATAACATGCACTGCTGATAGCCACCTAGTCCCAAACAAGGTAGTCTACACAGCGCTTCTCTGTTTAGTTTTTTTTTTTTTTACTCTTCTGTGGATTTGAATACTTTTTTTTTAACTCCCTATTGTGACCCTCTGGCAAGGAAGCTGCAGTGTTCTTAGAATTCAGGACGCCCCTAGCCCTGGACATGCCGGAAAGCCAGCCATGACCAGAACCCGTCCCGCCCCCTCTCCTTCCTTCACCCGGGAGCTGCATGTGAGCTCTGGGCCTCGGTCATCTCTGTGCCCGAGTGTGATACTGGACTTAGCCCAGATTTCTCACTAGACCACAGGCTTTTCAGTTGTATGTGAGAGAAAGAATGGGTAAGTGGAGGTGACCCGGCTCCTAAATAGGGTTTTTTTTTTCCTTTTCTGGCAGATGAATGGATAATGAAGAAGTGGTGTATAAACACACACATACACACACACACACAATGCAATATTACTCAACCATCAAAAGAATGAAATCTTGCCATTTGCAACGATGTGGATGGAACTAGAGGGTATTATGCAAGTGAACTAAGTCAGAGAAAAACAATTATCTTATGATCTCACTCAGATGTGGAATTTCACAAACAAAACAGATGAACACAGAAGAAGGGAAGGAAAAATAAAATAAGACAAAACTAGAGAGGGAAACAAACCATAGGAGACTCTTAATCACCGGAAACCAGCTGAGGGCTGCTGGAGGGGAGGGGTTGAGGGCGGGAGGGGTTGAGGGCGGGCGGGGGGGGGGGAATGTGGTAGCTGGGGGATGGGCATTAAGGAGGGCACCTCATGTGACGAGCCCTCGGTGTTGTAAGCAACTGATGAGTCACTGACCTCTCCCTCTGAAACCTCTAATACATTATATTAATTATATTATGTTAGTTAATTGAATCTAAGTTAAAAAATAAAAATTTAAAAATAATAATAAATAGGTCCTCTTTGGTGCACATTTAAAGGGTCCAGAGCAGTTTGATTCCCGCTCTGCAGACCACTCACTGGGCCTCCTTCGAGGGTCTCCTTCTGAGCGTTTGTCCCAAGTCTTGGGCACAACCAAACAGCATCACCTGCGGAGCAAAGGCCACACTCTGCACCAAGCCCGTTGCACACTGTGACACTGTGATTTATAGGAACTATGCGTTTGACCAAAATATATTTCTCGTGTATTTTTGGTCTTTGTCCACAGTTCCTGGCTCATGGCTCCTAAAACCTTGGAATTTCCCGAACCATCTTTTGTTACAATTTTCAGTCTCTTGTCCTCAGTTTCTGAAATCTCTTCAGAGCTGTGAGGGTGATGGGTGTTTTGTTATTGAAAACAGGCTCCCTTTTTCCCCAAGTGGGTTTATGTTAACAAGGCAACATCCATTCATGATTAGAAGGTTGAAACTTTCAGTCCCACACCCTCATTTCTGGGGAGGGGAGAGGGGCTTGAAGTTGAATGCATCACCGATGACCACTGATTTAATCAGTTATCCTACGTAATGAAGCCTCCATGAAAACTCCAGAGGACGGCGTACAGAGAACTCCCAGCCAGGGACCAGAATGCTTCCCCCACGCTGCCACACAGGTCTTCAAGCTTCACGAAGACAGAAGTCCCTTCGCTCACCACGTCCCTTATGTATCTCTTCATCTGGCTGTTGATTCAGATCCTTAATATCTGCAATAGGTCAATAATATAGTGAGTAAACAGGTTTCCTGAGTTCTGTGAGTCACTCCAGAAAATTAGTGGAACCCAAGGAAAGGGGCATGGGAACTTCTGATTTACAGCCAGCGGGTGAGGCATCTGACGTGGAGGGCAGTCTGGCGGGCCTGAGCCCATAACCTGGGAAATCCAACGCCGTCCCTGTGTAGATGGTGCCAGAATTGAGTGGAATCTGCCGGACACCTAGCTGGTGTCCACGTCATTGGCGTCGGGGTCAGGAAAACCCATCTACCCCACACTGGGGTTGGGTTCCAGAACTGCATTACACCTATTAATCCATTTAAGCCACATATAATCCTATAGAGCCGGCATTTTGATCGCTTTTTCACAGAAGACTAAGACTCCGAGAAATTAAGTAACTTCCGTCTGGCAGAGCATAGGGTTTGACCCCACAACAACCAAGCCAAAGGGCTACGAGCTGCAGCAGGATCCGTCGGCCACAGTGATTGGCCCCGCGGAGGTTATCAAGGGTCCCCAGACACACACGGGCTAGCGACTTGCAGTCTGGCACACAAGTCAGTACCAAACCAATCAAAAGCCTTTCTCAGGAGTCCGGGATTGAAGGTCCACAGTAAGGTGTGCGGGGTGGGGGCAGTGATGTAGATCGCTACTTGGAGGGGTCTGGTTGCAGCCCTAGCATCACCTGAGAACTTTCAGAAAATCTCAAGTCCCTCCCTACACCTTTGTAGTCAGAACTTGATTTGAATAAAACTCTCAGATGGTGTTTAAATGCTAAGGTTTGCAAAGCACTGAGGTAGATGGTGGCTCAGCCAAGAGGGTCCTGGGCAGGTTAAAGAATCTATGTGGTTGTGAAACACGTCAGCAGTGAGCTGCATCGTTATCAGGTAAAGTCATCAGAAAAGTTGGGACGCCTGGGGGACTCAGGCAGTGAAGCATCTGCCTTCGGCTCAGGTCATGATCTTGGGGTCCTGGGATCGAGCCCCACATCAGGCTCCCCGCTCAGCGGGGCAGGAGACAGTAACCTACATGTTCTTTGCTGAAAGGAAGTATAATGAGACATAGCTGACGTGTTCTGTAGAACACTCTAGAAGCCATGAACTAGATGTATGTACAGCAACATGCCTGGATCTTAAAGCCGAGATCGTAGCTCAAAAAAAGGTAGAAACAGTCCTGTACTAGGTATTTTCAGAGCTCCCCCTGTAGCCGAGGACATGTGCAAACATGAGAGTCGTGCCCGTGGGGGTGAGGAGAATGGGAAAGAGAATCGAGGGAGATGGGGGAAAGTGTAGAGAGCACGAGAGGACCTCGCCTGGGCTGCTGTGGATTGCTCACCAGGACCCGTGGAATATGACTGAGACAGCTCTCTGCCCTGAAGTCCGAGGAAAAGGGGGGAATTGGCAGGAGTGGGAAATAAAGGGCACAAGTGAAGCCAGCAAGACTGCCCACAGATAGGAAGGCCACCCTGCATGCAGAGCAAAGCAAGGAGAGGGAGACCTGGGCTGGGGCTCCCAGGCTGCTATAATCACGGTTCTTGGGCTGTGGACCGAGTCCTCCTACACACCCCATGTGCGTCCTCACAACCACCGCTCTGGTTCTCTGAGGCACCCCAAGTGCATGGCAGCCCCTCACATAAGCCAGCAGCCCGGCTGCTCTGGCCGGAAGCGGACAGAGCTCAGCACTCTCACAGTCCCAAGACCAGCAATGCTTACAGAAGCACTGAGCCCAGGGTTCAGCGGCTGAGGCTACCCCGCCAGAGATAAAGGGTGGTTTACATTCACAAACCCTGCGTTTCACACAGTCCTGTGGGATCACCAATGGGTGATTTCCCCCCAGGCAGCTCCCCATCCTCCTACTCCTTAAGCTTTCAAATTCCATTTTCTTTCTTATGCAGAGCAGTTTAATTTTGGCCCAGAGCCTCCATCTGTGCCTATCCACACCCCTAAATTACCTGAGCCACTCACCCTAAATTTAGTCACAGTTGGAAATACAGTGTAGGTGGCTCATTCGCTTTTTCAGTTCCATACTCAAGCCAAAAAAAAAAAAAAAAAAAAAAAAGGCTTGCTTGTCCAAAACACTAGGTCATGCACAAGAAGTGAACCAAAGCCCCATCATCCAGTAATAATAATGGTAATAACAGTGACTATCCAAGAGGTTCCTTAGACCTGAACAGCACGTCATCTTAGGGAACAGTGCCATCAGGGACAGGACTGCGTCCTGGTCCCAGAGATCCCACTGACCTGCGCAGATGAGACCCATGCCATGCAGAAACGTGACGGTACCTATACTTTATTAGACACCCTCCACAAGAAAGAAACGTGACCTAATGTCAGAAAGGAGGGGACGTGGGAGTCCCGGGGCTGGAGGAAGAGGCCCCGCGCCTGCAGCGTCCCCAAGCGCGCGGCGGAACAGGAACCCAACAGTCAGCTCTATCAATTAGAACAAGCCCGGCTCAGCTTTGCTTTCCCCGTGGTGATTATTTCTGAAGCTCCGGCAGTTTTTAGCGTAGTGGTGTTTTGTTCTCTTTTTCAAAAGCGCGCGCGCTCCCCAGCCTTGCCCGTGTGCCCCAGCAGCCCCCGGGTCTCCGCGGCAGCGCCCCTTGGACGACGCCCTCTGCAGCTCAGGCAGACAGGAACCTGTTTCCCAGACCGCCGAAGCAGGGCCATGAGCAGGCGAGCGGGCGACGAAGGCAGGGTGACCTCTGCGGCTGGGCGCGGCCGGGCAGGGGCGCGCCGGGAGCGGCAGGTGCGAGAGCCTCGGGTCTGAGCTCAGGCCCCGCCCCCTCACGACCCGCCTCCCCGCCGGCCCCGCCCGCCCCGCTCACCGCCTCCCCAGGAGCTCCCGGCCGCACCTACCTGCGGTGGCGCTCTGAGAGACAGCCGGGGGGTGCCCAGCGCCGCCGGGACACCCTCGGAGCGCAGGGTGCTGTGCGTCAGGTCCTGCTTGTCCCGGGTGAACGTCGCCGGCTTCCTGTCCTCGGGGACGGCCAGGCTCCGGCTGAGGGCGCGCGGGTCCGGCGGGACGGGCCCTGCGGGAAGAGGGCCGGGCTGGGAGGGACGCGCCCCGGGCGCACGCGGCGCGGGAGAGGCCGCGGTCTGTTCCCGGACGGAGGACGGCGGTTTAGCGCCGTTCGGGCCGGGGCGGCGCCCTGAGGGTGTGCGTCTCAGAGCGCAGCCGGGGCCGGCAGGCCAGGGGACCGGTGAATCAGAGTCTGCCTTGGAACAAGATCCCCCGGTGTTCCTCCGGCACGTTAAATCAAGTAAAGTAGACGCTGTTTTTTAAAAACTATCCATTTGTTCAAGTCGACAGAGTCTGGCGCAACGCTGGGCAGAACACACACGCCCAACCAAGAGTTTCGTGACTATTTTTGAGGAGATAACATCCGTACAAGGAACAAGCGTGAACAGCACTAAGCCCTTTACATGTGTGCGTTCCTCTATGTCCTGGCCACCCATGGGGTCCGAACCAGTGTGTGCTCCATTTTAAGGAGAACGAACCAGAACCAGGAGGCACACTGGCTTGCCATGACTCATAACCAGCAAAAGCGAGAGCAGACCACCCAGTGGTCAGCCTCCAGACTTCGCAGAGGTAACTGCTCTGGACTGACTGGACAGAGGAGAGAAGGAATCCCCAAACCCCCAGCTGTTTACCTGAGTCTGTTTCCAGATGATGCGCCAGGTTTTCTGAGAGAAACAGAAACAGAAAGGTGTGTGACTTGTGATTTCCCACGAGCATTCCCAAGAGCAGAGCTGGGAACCATGTGAGCCCAGGCGCGGCGGATGGCCGTCTGCTCTGCGCCCTCTGCTGTGGTCTACTGAGACACAAGCCGCCGTCACCTGCCTGGACGCTCAGCCCAGTGCAGGTCCCTGGGGAGAGAAGATGCTCTCGGGACCGGTCCCACTGAGCAGAGCGAGACCACCAAGGGAAGGCTTAAGAGAGGGAAGATACCAAGAGCCAGGCTTGGCAGGCAGGGTGAAGGTGGTGATGGGAGGAGGACACGGCTGTCCCACCAGCGGGGGATGGGGAAAGCTGCTGCCCCTCCCCTTTACCTGAGAAGGTCCTCAGCATCTCTGGGAGGGAGAGTGTTTTCCTGTGGAGATCTCGGATCTTCTTGACAAGGTCTGGAGAAATTGTCTCTGGACTCACAAAAGTCCTTGTCTCATACCTACAGACAACCAGCCCTTAAGAATTATAGGTAGGGGTGCCTGGGGGGTTCAGGGGGTTAAAGCTTCTGCCTCTGGCTCTGGTCATGATCTCAGGGTCCTGGGATCGAGCCCCTCATCGGGCTCTCTGCTCAGCAGGGAGCCTGCTTCCTCCTGTCTCTCTGCCTGCCTCTCTGCCTACTTGTGATCTCTGTCAAATAAATAAAATCTTTTTAAAAATTAAAAAAAAAAAGAATTAGAGGTAGGTCCTCTAAGAGAATGTCTGGGGTCTATGGAGGCTGGAAGGGGCAGAGGTCATTACCCTGTTTGCCTCTAGAGGACAGTACAATGTCGGTGGAAAAACGACCTTAAAACTCCTCTTTCTAATCTGGGTGCTGTTCATTACTAGGGGAAAGGGGGTGGGGAGGGGAGATGAGAGAAAACAGGTAACAGCTCCGTCCTTGCCTGTCCCCCACAGCAGGACCTCGAGCAGGCTGGGCGCCCTGATCAGACCAGCTAAAGGACTGCACAGCCCTTTAGCTCTATACCCCAAACACTCTTTGAAAGTTTGGGAGACACGGGACACCTGGGTGGCTCAGTTGGTTAAGCGGCTGCCTTCGGCTCGGGTCATGATCCCAGCATCCTGGAATCGAGTCCCACATCGGGCTCCTTGCTTGGCAGGGAGCCTGCTTCTCTCTCTGCCTCTGCCTGCCATGCTCACGCTCGCTCGCTCTCTCTAACAAATAAATAAAATCTTTAAAAAGAAAAAAGAAAGAAAGTTTGGGAGACCCTTCCCGAGCCTTGGACCCCAGGTCCAGACACTGTGGCTGAATAACAAGTGATCTTCGCAGAACCCGGAGAAGGCACAAGTGCAAACAGCAGAGGACAGCATGGGGCCAGGGGCTGCCCTTTGTGGTGGCTTCTGCAGCCCCTGAAGGACATGGGGCCGCGGAGCCGGGAAAGGACTGGAAGCACATGCCAGTCTCCCACGCTCCGTGCCACCACAGTTTATAAACAATCTCTCCCCTCGGAGTTACAGTTTACATGCTGTTCAATGCTGACTCGAGTACCAGTAATTTTGAGAACTAAACAGGCGTTCCTACATCAGCCTAAAAACACGATTATGGCTTATAATTTCACCTCCAGGGGAAAACCGTATCCCTGATACCAAACAAAAGTTTAAAAACGGACTCTTGGAGCACAGCCCTTTAGGTGGAGACTGTGTGTCTGTCTGTCTGTCAAAGTGAATTTGCATTCCTGTGGGGGGCAGGGTAGAGAGGGCCCCCCTCGGTCTGTGTCCAGGGGAACAGAGGTGAGAGGAGCAAAGTGAACATCCCGGGTGTCAAGGAGGCAGGACTGGGGAGAAGGCCCTACCTGCTCTGGTCGGCTCTGACATCCTACAAAAGAGAAAGAACATGCACTCAGCGTCCATACGTCCTTCCCACCGGAGACTCCACACAGCCTGTCCTCCTTATCATCCAGCCTCAGAGCTGTCTCTTCCCGAGCCCTGTGTCTGCTCCGTTCCCTACTCATCACACCGCTGTCACATCCCACCTCCCGGCTCATTTGGGACTCTGCTCAGGTCATTAGAGCTGGCTTCTTTGACTTAGCCTTCTCTGGGGACCATTTTCTGCCTCCAGGGCTTGAGGGCTGCTGGGGAACAGGGTCCAGGCTCGAGTTACCCGCCGGACCCGTTGTGAAATGGGATAAAAGAATGATAATCTGTGTGAGCCAGGGACCATGCTAAGCATTTCGTATGGACTGTTTCCTACCATCTTTGAACGAGCTCTGTGAGGGAGGTGCTATTATTATCCCCACATTTAAGGGGGCTCATGAGGCTCGCCCTGGTCGCATGGCTGGAAGACCCTGTCCTCAAACCCAAGGCCCCCCCAACTGCAAGGTCCCTGACACGACCACAGTGGGTGGACAAGTCATCCAGCCTTCCTGGGTCTGCAGTCTGTAAGCTCTCTGGGCTGGTGCAACCCGAGACCTGGCAGTCCCTTCCAGTGGAATCAACGGCCACTTGCCCTTCCCGCCTGTCCCAGCATCCCGGGCCCTCCGCCTGTGTCCCCTCCTGGTTGGCCTCTCTCCTAGCCCACGGGGTGGGCAAGGCCTCACTTGCAGCAGGACGCTGGCTGGCTGCTGACTCTGCTCCTCCAGCTCCTGGGCCTGGGCTCCGAGCCTGGTGATCTCCTCGGAGACCTTGGAGTTGTACTGGTCCCTCTCCATGCAGGTCTGCAGCTCCAGCTCGCGCAGCCTGGCCTGCAGGAGACTGTGCTGGTCTGCCAGCTCCCGCTGAAGCTTCCCAAACGCCGCATCCACCTGCTGCTTCTTGCTTTCAATGTGAGTCTGCACGGGGTACACGGAGAAACAGGCCAGGAGGAAGATGGAGAGGCTGATCTCCAGGAGGGTCACCTGTATTGTCACGACTTGGAGACATAGGGAGTTCCTAGCTCTCAGTCCTACGGCGGAACGGGTCTCAGAACAGACTTGCCAACAGTGAGGGCTGTGCCCCTGTCTTACTGCAGAGTCTAAGAACAACGCCCCAGAATGCCCTCAGGGCCATGTTGAGCTTCTCAAGCACCCTTCCCCATCTGCGACATGGCTCTCACCTCACCGTGCCTTCCCTAGAGTCAGGAGGAGCTGGTGGGAGTCGTCCGTCCGAGAGCCACTGAAGGAACCAGGTCGTGGTTCGAGTGTGTGACGTCGCTCTTGTCCCCTGACATCGCACTCCGCATGGCACACTTGGAAGGGAGCCAAGGAGAGCTGCGGGTCTCTTCCCGCCCCACAACTCTGTTCCCTTGGTCAGGGCACCCGAAATTCTCAGATTGCGGCTTTCCTCCTGGATGACCGTGTAGCTCAGAGACCCTACAGCTCACCCGACGTGCTCAGGCCAGCCCCGTCAGCGACACTGACACCGCACACACCTACCCACCCCTTCCTATCTGAAGGCGGTGCTTTAGGGCACACAGAATGGGATGGGAAGAGTGGCTCTGGGCCAAGACACCCAGCTTCTAGGGACACCTGCTGGCTTAGTCGCGGAAGCGTCTGCCTGGATTTCAGCTCAGGTCATGATCTCAGGGTCCTGAGAGCCAGCTCCGTGGGCGGGCTCTGAGCTCAGCTGGGAGTCTGCTTCAGTTTCTCTCCCTCTGCCCTTCCCATTCTCTCTCTCTCAAATAAGTAAGTGTTAAGAGAGAGAGAGATCCGGGCTGTAGCCACGTCATCATGACCGTGGGCTTTGCCCTGTGGGACGTTCCGCTCCCGGACCTGTTCTCTCTGTAAAGCGGCTGAGAAGATGGGTCCTGGGCCAGGTCTCAGAACCATCTCCAGCCGTGAAGTTCTCGGATTCCACAGCCTTAACCCTGAATGCCCGTGCAGAGAGGCAAGGACGTGAATGAGGACAGCACAAGAGTACCTGACAGGAAGCTTCGCTCAAGCCCCTGAGGGAAGCACTTACCAGAAGCTCTTGGAGCTTCCTGTCTTCCCGCCGCCATGTGGCCTCCATCTCACTCTTCTCCAGGCGCAGAGCTTTCGACTGGCTCCGGAGACGGTCCTGCGGGGAGAAGAACGGGCAGGGAGCGGCGGCTTAGTTCACAGAGAGCGTCTGCTGAGTCCCAGGTGCACCGCAGATGGGGAGAGACTCAAAGGTGAACAGGGCGGTCCTCGTCCCTGCAGAGATCACCTGGAGATCACCGCCCACCTGAAGGACAGAGAAGGCGGAGTCCGGGGTGCCAGCAGCTGGTGGGAACACAGAGAGGCACGGGGCAAGGGGAGGCTGCAGAGACAGAAAGTGCTTACAGTGGGTCTAGAGAGGGTCTGCGCGTGCCGCACATGCCTGGACTGTCCCTCAGGTGGCACTGGGGCCCAGTGACCATGCCGAGCTTTCCCGGCGCTGGGAACCCACAGGAGGGTTTGGCACAGGGGAACAACATGGTCTACTGCGTGTTTTGGCAGATTGGAGGATGCTTGGAGAGGGCGAGAATGGACACAGGGAGAGCGTTCAAGGCAGAGCAAGTCTGGGCGAGGACGAGAGCCTGCATTTGGAAGCGGTCGCGGGGATAAGTCCAAGACTCAAGAGCTACTTCAGAGAAGATCACTTGTAGACCCAGACGCTGGATGGACAGAGCGAGCAGGGGGGCCCAGGCGGGCCGTGTCATGCCCCCCCTCACAAGGAAGAGGGGCACCTGCGGGCCGCCCTTGCTCTCCCCTCGCATCCCTCTCAGCCCAGCAGTCTCGGCCTTGGCAAATCCCATACCCTGTGTGGGTCCTGGGAGGCCAAGGTCACCTGCCCACAGTGGGCAGAAGACCGTCCCATGCACTCGTTCATGGATGCAACTCTCTGTGCCTGTCGCCATGGGGCCCCATGAGGCTGAGGTCCCCCTGAGCCTGTGAACGGCCACCTGTCCACGGGGAACCATGGTCCTTCATCCAGATCCCTACCCATTCCCTCCACGGTGGGCAACAGGACGCTGTCCCAGCCCACACAGGCCCCCCAAAAAGCTATCCCTCTTACCCGGTAGGGCTGAACGGCCCCGTCGAGGACAGCTGCAGGGTGGGTGCAGTGGGAGGGACTCTCCCGACAAACCACACAGAGCAACTCAGCATCGATCTCACAGAAGAAGTAAATCTTCTCACCGTGCTCCTCACAGCACGTCTCCCCCAGAGGGCCCAGGGGCACAGGGACCATGAGAGGCTGGGTGGGCTCCTTCTCCTTGCAGAGTACACAAGGCAGCACCTGGCAGGAGGGCCGGGCCCCCATCCGGGAGGGTGGGGGGAGGCGCAGCCTGGCAGAAGATGTGTCCACGGGTGCAGATTACTGCATCCTCCAGGGTTCCCTTGCAGGCTGGACGGGTGGGCTCCTCACGGGAAGGCACAGAGGGCATCCCGCTGCTGTCTGCAGCCTGTCCACAGAGGCCTCTGCCTCAGGCCACACAAATCCCCTGTCCCTGATATCCGTCACTTCTGCGTGAGTCATGGAGGGAACACAATAGGAGGCTGCAAGAAAGTAGAAGGGTTCGGCCTAGGAAGCCACCGGCCACCACCCATCAGCTGAGTGGGTTCAAACTCCAGGGCACTTGAAGTGACCCAGCATTTCCCAGCAGGGGCCTGGTCAGTCTGCCCTCTGCTCCTGCCGCGTCCTTCTGTCCCTGGGGTGGGGAGCCCAGCATGCATGAGCTCACAGGGAGATGGGTTTCCTGGAACCCCACCCTTGACCGCTGTGGGGTGGAGAGTTCCAGGAGGAAACACAGGGAGGTGACATTGCTTCCTGTCCACTGAGCAGGTGGGAGCCACCAGCTTCCACTCTCAGGTGTGCGCTCGGCGTCAAAGTCCAGACTGCCGGGGGAGGGGTTCTCTGGCTACTCCTCTGCCTCCCTTCTCGGCTCACCTTACCCACCCAGGCAGACCTCCTCACCTCTGCCGCCGCCAGCCAGGGAGCCAGTGTCCCCAGCCCACTTCTGTTTTTAACAGCCCTTCGGGACAGGTGTGATTACCTTCATTTGACAGCATGACATGTGAACCGACTTCCCTGAGGTCATGGAGTTGGAGAGCTGTGATGCGGGGGTCAGTCCGAGTCTCCTGGCTCAGGGCCTGTGCCCCCAGCCCCTGTGCTTCCCCCACGTGATGGTCCAGGCCACGGTTCATCCGCTCCTTGCATCTGTGCATAAAACCCAGGGGAACCCCATTCTGACGCTAGCCATCCGCCCTGCGCTGTTTCCCTCGCTCTGCACCTGAGCTGCTGTGTGTACCCCATTTCCTTCCCAACCACCCTGGCCCTCCTGGGCGGGGGCGGCCACCCACCTCCGCCCTTCCAGAGCCCGGCAGCTCCACGCCGCCACTGAGCACGGGAATGCGGCGGGTCCCAGCAAAGACGCGCAGCTCTCCAAACGATACACCTGTTAGAAGGAACGCAAAATACCTTGTTCCTAATTCTTAGACTGGTTACACGTGGAAATGATTGTATTTGGGGCTAAATAAAATACTAAAATTAACTTCCCTTTTTAAAATATGGCCAGGTGGAAACTTGAATTGCACAGGTGGCTCCCGTGGTGTTTGCGTGGGGGCGCGGCTCTGGGGCGCTCAGATCTGAGCACAGATGGGGGCCCGCACCTCCCCACGCACATGCGGGGCCCCGCGCTGGCAGCGCCAGGCTCGCTCCGGAGCGGCAGGGGGCTCCAGATGCACCACCAACAACACAGGCGTGAGCGGTGGGTCCTGAACAAGTGCCGGCCATTGCCGGTTTCCTTCCTGCTCCCCACGCAGGGCTGACTCTCGCCTCCGTGGAAGCCGGCGGCAGGCCGGGGACGTGTCCCTGAGCGCAGCCAGCTTATCTGCACCCTCCTGCTCGCTGCGCCGGCTGATACCATATCTCTCGGGGGCAGCTGGTCCTACCGCAGGGGGCTGGTGTGGCCTCTCCCGTCCCCGACTGGGTCAGCCTCCCACCCCAAACAAGGACTATCTCTGCCAGCTGTAGACAGCGAAGATACAGCGAGCTCAGGCGCAGGGACGGGTCAGACGCCGTGCCCTGGGCTGTGGGCTGCAGCCCAGACAGTGCCTGAGGACAGCTCTGGAATGCCGGGCCCCTCCTTCCTCCCTCTCCTGGAGCGGGGGCGTCCGCTCCTTTGGGAGGAGGACAAGAGGACCGCGGCATCAGGTGGGTGCCCTGTCCTTGGGGGCGCGTGTGTGTGCGTGTCTGTGCGTGTGCGTCTGTGTGCACATGTGAGTGCACGTCTGTGTGTGCGCACATGTCTGTGTGTGTGCCTGCCTGTCCACGACCACCAGGGTGCCTGTGCGTATCTACGACATGGCCATGTCTGGCCGTGTGAGGACGAGTGTGTGTTCTTGCTGTTTTCCCAGATCCTTCCAGCTCAGCCCCGCACAGAGAGTGACCTTGAGGTGCCAACGGACACAGCGGGGCCATGGCCGCAGCTGCCTCCGTGACCAGCCTGGCGGATGAGGTCAACTGCCCCATCTGCCAGGGCACCCTGAGGGAGCCGGTCACCATTGACTGTGGCCACAACTTCTGCCGGGGCTGCCTCACACGCTACTGCGAGATCCCAGGCGCGGACCCCGGGGAGGCCCTCCACGGGGAGGCCCTCCCCTGCCCCCTCTGCAAGGAGCCCTTCCGCCTGGGGAGCTTCCGGCCCAACTGGCAGTTGGCCAGCGTGGTGGAGAGCATCGAGCACCTCAAGCTGGTGTCTTCGCCGGACTCCGAGGCAGAGGACATCTGCAGGGAGCACAGGGAGAAGGTCTACTTCTTCTGTGAGGACGATGAGACGCAGTTGTGCGTGGTGTGCCGGGAGGCCTGGGAGCACCGGGCCCACACCGTGCGCTTCCTGGACGAGGCAGCAGGGCCCTACAGGGTAGGAGAGGGCACGCGGGGGTCTGGGGCACGTCTCCCTCTCCCTGTCCTCCCTCGGGCAGGAGCCCCAGGCGTGCTGCAGCATGTTCCGTGTTGCTCACATATGGCCACAGTTTCCGGGGCTCAACAAGGACGCGTGGACTGTTTGGGTGGCCATGTGGGTCAGCCCCGCACGTCTGAGGGTGTCTGCGTTTGGGGGACAATCGTGCAGACAGTGTGATGTGCACGACGTGCATGTGGTGTGTGCAGGGAGGCCTGTGTGCTCGTGTTGGTGAATAAACCAATGTTTGCGTGCAGGGGGGCAAACCCGGGTGTGCGGTCCTCCCCGTCGTCCTCTGCGTGTCTGTGTCCACGAGCTCACCAGCGTCTGACGAGAGAGCACTCTCTGTCTTTCTCAGTGTCCCTATGTGGATGTTTGTGTGTGAGCTCCTGTTCCTACTCTATTCCAGACCAAGCCGTTTTTACAGCAGTGTGTTGGCTATTTTTATGTTATCCAAGTGTTTTCTCCCATCTGGAATCAGACACAGAAAATGGGTTCTATTCACAACAAGGGACTGTGGGTACGTGTTCCCTCTGAGAGAGATGTGAGCAAGTCGGAACACTTTCAAGGAAGGGCATATCAGGCTCGAGACAGATCCCAGGCCTAGCTTACCAGAGACAAAACAAATTAGGGTTTTTGTATTTTAAAGATTTTATTTATTTATTTGACAGACAGAGATCACAAGTACGCAGAGAGGCAGCAGGGGGGTGGGGAGCAGGCTCCTCACTGAGCAGAGAGCCCCATGTGGGGCTCAATCCCAGGACCCTGAGATCATGACCTGAGCCAAAGGCAGAGGCTTAACTCACTGAGCCACCCAGGCACCCCGACAAATTAGGGTTGTTTTTTTTTTTTTAAGATTTTATTTATTTATTTGACAGACAGAGATCACAAGTAGGCAGAGAGGCAGGCAGAGAGAGAGAGAGGAGGAAGAAGGCTCCCTGCGGAGCAGAGAGCCCAATGTGGGGCTCGATCCCAGGACCCTGGGATCATAACCTGAGCCGAAGGCAGAGGCTTTAACACACTGAGCCACCCAGGCGCCCCCAAATTAGGGTTTTTAAGCTGAAGACAGCCAGCCTCAGATGGGGAAACTGAGTCAGGGGCTGTGTTGGCACAGGGAGAGGTTCCTGGAGAGCACAGCGAGAAGGAAAGGGCCTGGAGAGAGCCAGATGCTGCGGACAGTTGGGACACAGGTGTTGTCAGCCAGGGGTGCTCCCTCCATCGGGTCATGTCCTCTTCACGAGTCATTGCTTCTGTGTAACATACTACATACGCTTTCTCTCCAGGAACAAATACAGAAGTGTCTTGAGTGTCTAAGGAAAGAGAGAGAGGAGATTCAAAGAATCCAGTCGAGAGAAAATGAAAGGATACAAGTCCTCCTGGTAGGTCTCCCTCTGCTCCCCGGACCTTGTCCCTCCGCCCCCCGGGATCCAGCGGCCCCCCGAAGCCAAGGCCACGTAGCACGGGGACTAGGGGTTCACTCTAGTGACCACTCTAGTTGACTCCCACCCAAACGAGTGCATCTCTGCTCGGCGTGAGGTGGGAGTCGGCAGGACCTCCCAGATCTGACTGAAAGCGATTTGGCCCAGGACACAGCCTTGTGCTGAGGGGAGAGTGCGCCCTGTGAGAGGCAAGAGGTGGGCTGTCCCACCCCCTCCTCAGCTAGGCTTCTAGAAGCCCAAATGGAAGGGGCCAACGCCATGCTGGGCCATCAGCTCCCAGAAACCGCCCGGCAGGAGGGAAGGAGGCCACAGCAGTTCCCGCTCCATCTAGGGACCTGGGGCGGGGGCTCCAATTCTCCACCCAAGGAGAAGGACGTGGATCTGGGCCAGAGGGAGATGGGGGTGAACTAACTGGGGAAAAAGAAGGAAAGGGAAGCAGAAGAAAGGGAGGGAGAGGAGGAGGAGGAGGAGGCATCACCCCTCCCGGCCTCCCCTCCTGCCCTTTCAGTGTCAGGTCGCCACCAAGAGACAGAAAGTGGTCTTCGAGTTTGCACACCTCAGCCAGTTTCTGGAGGAGCAGCAGAGCATCCTCCTGGCCCAGCTGGAGAAGCTGGATGGGGACATCCTGAAGCAACGGGACGCGTTCGATGTCCTGGTCAGCGAGGAGATCTGCCGGTTCAGCAGCCTGATCTCCGAGCTGGAGGAGAAGAACGGGAGGCCGGCCCGGGAGCTCCTGACGGTGAGACCGCCCCACCTGCGGCCGCCTCTGACTTCCGGTGCCCTCCCATGTCTGAGCCACCTCCCCTTCACCCCGAGGGCAAGAGAGGTCCTGAATTCCAGTGCCTGCTCCCCAGACAGGCCTCAGTCACTCTGCATCCTGGCTTTTCACTGTCCCACGTCCATCGAATTGGGGTCCCTTTTCTTACCTGCCTCTCAGGGGTGCTGTGAGACTCCAACAGGAAAATACAGTGGAAACGAGCAGTTTGAAAAGCATCTCATGCTCTGCAAAGAGATGTCCCGTGCTGTTTCCGAGGCCGGGTATGC